CCGTATTGTTGCAATTTAGTCGGTACACGATCGATCCTTACGAAATCCAACCTGTTGATCTCGAAGTTGGACGTCTACGAAGTCCTTCATTCTGTTTAACAATGCCCTGTTGAAGGCTTTGCCTGTTATTGAGAGAAGAGTGATTCCTCTGTAGTTCTCACACTTGCTGAGATCGCCTTTCTTTGGTATTTTGATGAGGTATCCTTCTTTCCAATCTGATGGTACTTGTTCCTCATCCTAAATCTTGTTGAAGAGGTTGTGAAATATTTTCGCAGTTGCTTCCACATCTGCTTTCGTTGCCTCTGCTGGAATGTTGTCTGGTCCTGCTGCTTTGCCGCTCTTGATTTGTTTGATGGCCATACTGATGTCCTCAATTGTAGGTGCGCCAATATTAATTGGAAGGTCCGTGGATGCTGCTTCGATGTTGGGTGGGTTCAGTGGAGCTGGTCGATTCAGGAGTTCCTGAAAGTGCTCTACCTACCTATTTCGCTGTTCTTCGGTGTTGCTGATTACTTTGCCTTCCTTGCTTTTCACTGGTCACTCCGGTTTACGATAGTTTCCGGCGAGCTTCTTTGTTGTTTCTAACAATTGTCTCAAGTTTCCGTCTCTTGCATCCTTTTCCGCCGTCATTGCTAGATCTTCCATATATTTTCGTTTGTCAGCTCTGATGCTCTTCTTCACTTGCCTGTTTGCTTCTGTGTATGCAGCTTGTGCGGTAACTTTCTCCGCTCTTGTTCGGCTGACATTTATTGCTTCATTCGTGTTCCTCCTTTCTTCAATTTTTGCAAGAGTATCAACAGAGATCCATTCTTTGTGATGATACTTCTTGTGACCCAGAACTTCGTGACATGTTGAAGTGATTGCCTCCTTGATCCCTTTCCAATGTTGCTTCGTCTCCATTGAGTATATCGTGCTAGGCCTGGAACCTGTTGGTGAGGGATATCTTGAATTCGTTGAGTTTTACGGTATCCCGAAGAAAGGCTGTATTAAACTTCTGTGATGTTGTCCGCTTCGTTTTCCAGTTTTTCTTGAGTTCCAGTTTTATTTTGGCGATTAGCAAGTAGTGATCTGAGGCTATATCAGCTCCTCTCTTGGTTCTCACATCTTCCATTTTCCTTCTGAACTTTTTGTTGATACAGATACGTTCGACTTTGTTCTGAGTAGTGTGATCCGGTCAAATCCATATGGCTTTGTGCGGGAATATTGTTTGTTGAAGGCACATAGGTTTGCAAATCTCCCACCGTCTTCGTTCCTTTCTCCCAGTCCATGTCGTCCCCTGAAGTCTTCATATCCAGTGTTGTCCATTCCAACCTTGGCATTCAGGTCTCCCATCAGAATGGTCAAATCCTTTGGTGAGCATCTGTCGATGATTGACTGCAGCCTTTCGTAGAATTGATCTTTAACATCGTCATTGTAGTCATTGGTAGGTGCATAACATTGGATGACGTTCATTGTAATGTCCCGTTTCTTTGTTTTGAAGGATGCTTTAATGATCCTGGGTCTATGAGATTCCCATCCTATCAGTGCCTTTTGTGCATGTTTGGACAGCATCAGTGCAACTCCTTGTGTGTGTGAAGCATTTTTCTCTTCATAACTAGAGTATAACAGCAGTTTCCCTGGAGCTAGTCTCAGTTGTCCTACCTGTGTCCAATGCGTTTCACTGATGTCGAACACCTCGAGGTTGTATCTTTTCATTTCTGCTGCAACTTGAAATAGTCTTTCAGTCTCCCACAATGTATGAACGTTCCATGTACCTAAAAGAATGGTTGCTGTGGTTGTCAGAAGGGGTATCAGCCTCGTGACTTTTGAGGGAACTCGGCTTTCATCACGTGACGTCATAATTCTTCTTCCAACTCTTAGGGCAGAGTGAAAATGCTTTGAATGATTTGTTCTGGTTAGCTTTTTTTGGCAAGTTTTTTTTAGTTGGGATGTGGTCGCCAACCTCATGTCCATCCCTTCTCCTTTATCCGGGCTTGGGACTGGCAGGCTGAATTATGTTTTGTTGTTGATGCGCTGTAATTGCAACTCAGCATTCTTGTTACATGAATATGTAATATTGTATTCAATCACATAATTTATACTATGATTTTATATGTTCTATTCAATCTTGTTTTTCCTGTCTTCATAATGAATAATTTTAATCTGATTATCTTTACTAGTTTTATTTTGCCCTTTGATTTTATTACTATGTAAAAGTATTAAATTGTCAAACTAAAACGCTAGATTTGTCTACTTATTTCACCGTAATTATTTTCAGTTCATTTGTGTCAAACAAGGTTGGTTATATTCTTACCTTTTGTCTCTCAGCATAGAACAAAGGATTCAACTGTCGGCTGTTAAGTCTCTGGTTTAAAACAAACTCCATCTAATTTACTTTCAGCAACTGAGTAGTATCATTCATGTTCACTCTTGATGTATGGCAAATACTTAAAGTACCTGGTATGAATGAGTTAAATTAATATGAAATTTTTTATAGATATTAATTGTGTTGTATTCATTAGTTCTTAATAAGTTGGGCATTATTATTCCTATCCACTTTTGTACATTATATGTTTACGCGATTACAACTTCACAGATAAATCTCTAAATTCTTCTTTAAATTAAATGGAATTGATGAAAAAATTAAGTTATATGAATGAATTGTCACTATGGTCTATGAATAGTGGAAAAACCTATCATTTTTTCTTGTTGCTTATTCAAACTATAAATTTCATAAATTTGATAGACATGTATGTATTTAATTTGAAATGATTTGTAATATCTCGTTGTTGATCTTTTCGATGGAGATTTAAACCTTTGAGATTAGGCCCCCCTAAGAAAACCACTTGTTTCTGTGTGGTCATGTGAGCAGTATCCAAGCCCAATCATCGATTCAATTATCTATGTGGTGTATAAATATTGAGGCGCCTTTTTGTTCCAATTTTTTATGTTTAAATAAATTGTAAATAACTAATGCTGTAACCTACCTCTATTACATTGGAATTCGACCTGACAGTTTCATTCTTCGATGTCGATTGAAGTATGACTTCTAAACTGATATATGTACGTACCAACTTCTATGCTGCAACTGACTAATTGATTGATAGATAGATCATAAATCATTTCGTTATTTTTGAAGATGAAGAATAACTTATTGTGTGATTAATATTACAGAAGATAGGACTGATTTATTTTATTCCATCGTCCATCTAATCAGTCAATCATTGGGACTATATATTTTTTGATGAGAAGCAGCCTACAATAAGTTGTCAGAAATGCTATTTTTCTATTATTTGTTCTTGGACGTCAATCGATATTACGTGTTAAATTCGGTAATCAGAATCCCCATTATAGTTTTTGTATCCGGCGTCTAGTATTTTGCTCATAGCCTAATGTTCTAGACTTCACTAATGATACGTTCTGACTGGCACGATCAATTGAGAGCTGATGTAAGCTACACAACTCTTTTTCTGGCCCTGGTTTTGAGTTCAAAGGGAAGTCATCAGCCAAACTTCTCATATCATTTAATCTCAGTCAACAAACCAATATAGCATCTATCCCAAACACTTATTACCAAACCACACAGTCTACTAAATAAGAAATCCTACTTTAAACAATCACCTCATATTATGATAAGCTGTGATGTGTGTTGACCTACTTTTAAAAATCGATACATTCCCTTGACCTTTTTGCTTTTTAGTATGAAACATGTTTTTACAAACTAATTTTGTGAAAATGGTCTTTGTTACTGTTAATTTGTTCTCTGTTCAATCAACAAATTTTTTGAGTTTTAACAAAGCATTTTTAGACGCTTTGTGTTTTTAATTTATTTATTTTTAAATTAAACGTATCTCTTCCTTTCTTTCTGTATTTCATGTGATATCGTCAGTTTATGTTACTTATATGCAGTCATCTTTTGACCTTGAACTGTTTGATCTTTACAATGTCTACCTCATTTTTTTTTATAGAATTGTATGTAAATGTGTATGCTTCAATAATGATGATAATCTGAAATGATTGTGTCATATTAGCGATAACAATATAGTGTAATGTTGCATATATTTATTGTAATATTTATAGGACAAAATTAACAGATCTAACAAATAAGGTTAAAAATAGATCGCAATGCTAAAATCCATCGGAAAACATCTAAAGCATTGATGATACACCTGTATATCCTACCATCATCATTACATTACAATCAATATTAAGTGTTTTTGACACAGACTAAAACCACTTTAGAAAACATTATAAGCTAAAAAAGCATCATTAAAGTTTGCGACTCCTCTGAATTGAACCTATGGTCTTTAGGTCATGCGATAGGACCGTTCATTATAAACCAGTACACATTTCCAACATTGATGAATTGGAAACCTATCATAACAATCATGGGTCACCATTAATAGGTAACTGGTTCACACTCGATATAGTCAGTCTTCAGAAACTTTGAGAATCGATGTACGTCATTTCAGTTCATTTTATAGTATTACATTAAAGTTTGTTCCGTAATTAGTTATAATAATGAATAAATGTACAAAATTTATCATTTGTATTAAGAAGCTGAAAATTTTATTGAAAAACCGTGTAAAAACTAAATAAAGATTATTTGTGTTATCTAGGAAGATGAATTTCGAAAATGAAATTCATTTCGAAGGAGCGTGGAAACAAGAGTAATTCTTTTTGTCTTAGGGTTTTAAACTCCGCGATTAAAACGAAGAGAGAATTGACTAAACCAACGGATTTACTTCTTAACTTATGAAATTGACAATATCCAATTGCAGAATAGGTTAATATATGTTAATTTCTCATTCCGACTCGGTCTCTAGTTTATAAAAGGAACACATGCAAACTCCGTTAAAATTTTATGTAAACTACGGCTGTTCAACTGTTATGATTCTTTTTTGTTTAGTGCAGTATCGTGCTTTGTTTGATAATAGTTTTATGACTAGATGAACTCTATTCACAATGCACAAATCTCCCTAATTATCTCATCTCTGTCTTCTCCCTCCTCGCATGCATAGCTCCCTCGAGATTCTCAACCAAAGGAACTCAAACCTACCATGGAATTCATTCATAACGTATCAATAACATTATTCTCATTAAATAACAACAATAATAGTAATTTTTATAACAATGTCAACATTAATTATAAAAATCAATAGAAGATAAAAATTCAATAAACAACTCTTCATACTACCCCATAATTGACTGATATTTCTCAATGTGAGTGATTCCTGTTTTGATCATTTATGTTATTGTTGTTGTTCTCATCTACCTCATTCTATTAAATAACATTTTATTTTATTCCAAGCTTATATATATATATATATATATATATATATATTAGTTTTACTCATTTCATTCCTTTTACGTTGATGTACCAGTGCATTTTACTCAGATCTGTATACATAACAAAACATGCATTAATCCAACTGAACTACACACAATCTACCTCAATGTTATTCGTGAATTACTTTTGTTATAAGAATTGTTCATTATTTTGTCTAATATAACATATTTCATCTAGTATTTGTTAACCTTCATACTCTGTTATAGTTGCTCTGTCATGTCAGTCTTCCCTATTTTCTTCCTTGTTGTTTATTTCGTTAGTTTTAACATTGCTGGCTTTGTCTCTTCTTGTTGGGGGCCTATGTCAATGATTTCTCCGCCTCTTATCATACATTGTTAACTTGTGCATCGTCGTCGTACTTTTTATTTGTTAGTTACAGATTTCTTCGCAACCTTTCTCATTTTTTGCTGTTTGTAATTAATTTTTTTTCTCATCGCTCATTTATCTGTATGTAAAACATTCTATATGTAAATATGATTGTGCATCTTTTGGTAAATAATGACTAAACTAAGTGCTTAAAAGATTGAAAAATTTATAATCATCATTTCATATTATAATTACTATCTTATTAGTGATCGTCGTTAATTTGTCGCAATTAATTAATAATAATACTGCTACTTCTACAGTCACATCTCTTATAGTCGCCAGTAACCTATGCCTTTTCAGTTTCGAAAATGCAACTAGCCTATCTCTACCATATCACCAAGTACATGTGTATACGTACCTGCCCATTTACATGCTGATATAATATGTATGATTGCATTTTTGTTGAATTGACTACTGTGTGGTAACTCTCATTCCGTTTCTTTTCTCCCCTTTCTTAATCCTTTGTCTTTAAAATTCCGTTATTTGTCTACCCTCTTAAAGGAGGACTGTTTTTCTCAGCATATATGTTCCTCATCTTTCAACTCTCCGGAATGGTTGCATAATTATTACATAAGATACACTGCTGGAGCTCGCCTATATATATATATATATATATATATATATATATATATATATATATATATATATAAGTTCTTTTCATAATTAGGTTTTAAAGTGTGTTCGTGTATTTCTTGTAATTTAAAGTGACAAAGTTTCGCTTTCGAAGAAAATATATGTCAAATAAAATCCTTGACAAAAGGAATTCCCACATAAGATTTGCGCTAGTTCTAATTCGACAACAGGTGTTATTTGCAACTACAGTCAAAATGGTTGTGAATCAAACATTGAAATAATATTCAGAAACCTTTGACATGAAGTTGTTTTTTTAAGTTTGAGAGGCTCATCAATCGTTTTTAAAGTCGTGACCTAATAAATTGAGAGATTCATCAGCAATAAGGCATCTACATTTTAAGATTAGATCATTAAATTTGACAAAACATTTGATCATTCGAGAAATTTTACTTAAAATGCCTGATGCATTCTTCACGCAATCGGTAGTAGGATGGATGCTTCACCGACCAAGATCGTGTCAAGTTTTTCGAGAAATCAGAAGCAGTATCTAATGTGATTATTAACATTGATTGACACGTATTTTCGTAAAATTTTAGGGTTAGAATTCGACAAACCATGTACACAGTTAATTTTTCTCGACACGCAAGGTTACGGTCTTTTACAATTGAAAAATTCCTCTTTGTAACCAGTTACTCCATATTTTGCGCGTTTGTGATAGCCGAATGGGCAAACACGGGAGAAATGCCAAGGTTCATAGTTTCAGCAACTAGTGAGAGGCCTTAGATAACGACGTATATTATGGACATTAAATTTTTAACTGGAGTGAGAGCATTTCTATGGGTCATGCTTTGAGACATTATTAATTCAATCTGAATGGGAAATTCTCATTGAATTATATGACATCAAATTAACAAAACATGGTATGTGATCAGAGTTTAAACGCTCAATCATCTTATTGTCATTTTTAAGATTGATAAGTCGACGATATTAATTAGTAATACCTTCCAATGTAAGATTGGGGTCTGATTCTACTCTGCTAAAAATACCAGTACAAATATCTGGATCTGATATAATGATTGAAACCCGTACACAAATATCCGACACTTAAAATCTTCGACTGGAAATGAACGTAACCTGAAATTTTCGGATTGCTTATTAACAAATGGAGCATATGAAAGAAAATCATCTCCAGGTTTTTTAGATCTTAAAGCAGTTATATCGCAAGCTAAATAAAAAATATTGGGTAGTAATAAATCCTGTTAATTTTTATACAGTAATATCGAAAGAAAAATAGTTGAGTTTTTGGCAAGACGAAGTTAGGATACTTCTCATATTCAGCTACTCCTGGTAGAACAGACAATAGCGACCATCTGTTGCAACTATGCTTAAATAACCGCCTATCCCTAGCGAACACTAACTTTAGGCATAAGGAAAAACACCTTTTGACCTGGCGACCCCCGAAGTTGTCTCAACTAGATCACATTGCCATCAGCTACCGACTGAGGGGTTCGATAGAGGACTGTCGCTCGTTCTGGGGCACATGTTTAGACTCAGATCATGCCCTAGTGCGAGCTCGTATTTGTTTGAGGCTTACTGGACGTAGGAAAGACACCGTAAGGAAGCCTCTTAGGTCTTTACTAAATGATAATAGGGCGAAGAATATATTTCAGGAACAACTAGAAAGACAGTTAGGCGACCATTTAAGCGACTCCCATCCGGAGGCAGGTTGGAATGATATCAAAAAGGCTGTGGATACAGCAGTGACATCTTCTAGTAAGGTAAAGCATAAGGCTAAAGCAAAAGCGATGGAAAAGGCAGCGGTGATCGGCAACACTAGACAACTTTTCCGCCTTATTAAAGAAACCAGTATTAAGAACCCGAAAGTGAGTGAGACTAACTCGGAAAAGGATGGTCTTATTATCCATTCTCAATCCAGAAGATTGGACCGATGGGAAGAACACTTTAGGGATCAGTTCAACTGGCCTCGAGCCACTCTTCGGTTACCCACGATCTCCAGCCATCCTGAATGGCGAATCGACGTAGTCCCCATAGGCTTTACGAAGTTGATAAAGCGTGAGAAATCTGAAGCGGGGGCGAGCTGCAGGTCCTGATTGACTGACCCCAGAGATGTTTGAGGATGGTGGTATATTTTCAGCGGCTAGGTTGACTGAGATCTTAGGTAGAATCTGGGAACTGGACCTAATCCCATCCGAGTGGTCTCAATCACTGATTGTCCCATATTTTCACACTACGACAGGTCCTGGAACACAGACACACATTTAGGCGTCCTACAGTAGTTGTGTTCCTGAACCTAAAAGCGGCATTTGGCTCAGTGGATCGTGGGGTTCTGTGGCAGTGTCTGTCATTGAAAGGTGTACCAAAGAAGTACATTAACCTCATACAAGCTCTCTGCTCAAACACTACTGGTCGGGTGAGAGCCTTTGGCGAACTGTCATCTGAATTTCTACATCAAGTGGTGTCCCTCAGGGATGTTCACTCTCTCCATTCTTGTTTAATTTTATCATAGACATGCTCTTAGAAATAACCTTATCCTCGTCTGAATTTTCTGGAGTAGACCTTCCACCTGGTGGCTCGCTTATTGACTTAGAATATGCCGATGACATAGTCTTACTTGGTGAAGACGCTGACAAGATGGAGAGTCTTCTGACTAGCTTAAGCAACAATGCAAGCATGTTCGGGATGCGGTTTTCCCCGTCGAAATGCAAAATGTTGTTTCAAGATTGGGTTGCATCGGTATCTGAACAAGTGATAGGGAGTGAAGTAGTCGAACGTGTAGACCGCTTCACGTATCTGGGAAGTCTCATCAGTGCTGATGGCCTGGTGACTGACGAAATCTCAGCTCGGATACAGAAGGCTCGATTGGCTTTTTCCAACCTGCGTCACTTATGGCGAAGGCGAGATATCCGTTTGCTGACCAAAGGACGAGTGTCTGTGCAGCAGTTCGCTCCGTCCTACTATATGGATGCGAAACATGGCGTTAAGAGTAGAGGACTTCCGTAGGTTACTTCGATGTCTCCGAAGCATTGCTCGTGTATCCTGGGACAACCGTATAAGCAATGCTGTCGTTAGGAAACGAGTTCTAGGTAGGGATGGCAAATCAAGAGATGAAGTAGTGAAACTTCATCAGTTGAGGTGGTTGGGACATGTGTTACGTATGGCTAACCACCGACTTCCGCGACGAGTGATGTTTTGTGGTGTAGGAGTAGGTTGGAAGAAAGCAAGGGGCGGCCAGACCAAAACATATCAGAAATCCATGAAGTCATTGACAAGTGGACTGAGTCATGTTGGTAGATGTAGACTACCTGGTTGGGGTCAGCGAGACGAAAGTCACCGATGGTTAGAGACCTTGAACGACATGGCTCAGAATCGTTTGCAATGGCGCCGGTGCATCCACTCTTTGTGTTCTCTCAAATTCTAACCTTCTGAATTCCTCATAATCTCTATCTTTCTCCCTCTAAATTTATCTCACTGAATTATACTTCTCGAATCATATCTTCGCTCCCTAATCTTCTCCATTACTGCTAATACTTCTATTATCGCTATCACTCTTGAATTTGAACTGACAGTAGCGTCCCTGTGCTGACGTGGTATGGCAACCTGAACTGACGTACTTATGAACGAAGTTGTGTGTTGTATCAGTCGGTCTGTCTCCTAGTCACCATTCCGAGCATTTTCTGTTGAGATGCTTGAAATTCTTCTCCCTGCTGCCGCAAAATCGATTTTCGCTGATTTGCTGACACTGGCTTTGTTTTTTTTGAATAATTTTTCTAAAATTTAGCTTGTCGTTTCACTTAATAACTTCTTTCTTCCAATGATTCTGGTTATTTTGATTCTCCCTCTCTTAGTGTGTTG